ACTTTGTGCACCTCAGCTGTATTTCCACACTGCGTTTCAGGCTGTCCTTACTAAAAGCCAGCGTGCTGATATCGTGAGGGAGGGGTCTTCTGATTTCAGCCTCCATATATTTAGTGTGAATGTAACTGTGATATTTGGCTGCCTTCAAAATGCTGCCTTCGCTGAGACGTGCAGTGCCCCAAAGGTGTAACGGTGCTGGAAGAGGCCAGGCAGCCGATGGCTGAAGGCAAATGTGTCAGAATGAAAGGCTGAAAAAAATTATCAGTCTGACACAGTGGGAGTATTAGAATGATTAATGCTTATGTTAATTTATGGCTTTTACATATTGATTAATAGCTTTTTGTTTCAGTGACCAAAGTGTGTAAGTGGCAATGAGATCCATATGCTAACTTGATGTCTTGCAGATAATTACTGTCCTTCTTCCTTTTGTTCCCATGCTGACTCTGTTTTCGTATGGGAAATAATAATTACACAGTGACTTTAAAAATTGCAGATAGAAGAATTTGAAGGTGAGCCTCAAGGCAGGGCTGCAGGGCTCGGCGTTCCTGAAGGCAGTGCACTCTTCGTGCAAACTTCGTTACTTAAAATCGTAACGTACTGTGCTGTCGTGTCTCCTGCTGTGGGACACTGGTGTTCTGTGAGGTGCTGACGCTGGGTGAAGCCCATTGCGATGTGCTGTGCTGCAGGCGCTGATGGGGCTTTTCTTCCTGCTCCCATCGCATTGCTTGGCGTCCCGCCAGCTGCTGATCTGCACTTTTGTTTGCTGCCGATCCGGCGGCTGGCTGTTACAATTAAAATGTGGAAACTTCCACCACTGGTTGTGTAAGTGTGAGCTGGGGGAGCTGCTGTCAGTGACGCGGGGCTGCACGGCCAGGCGGTGCGAACCTGTGCGTTCTCTTTGACACTGAGGTGTCTCTAGCAAGTTTCTTGAGCAGAAGCTTTCCATCTAGAAATCTGCCTGGATTCTGCACCCTCAGTGCACAATGCTGAGTGCTTCCCGTCCTGTCCTGTGATTGCTGTGTTTTTTTGTGTGTGTGTTTGTTGTTTTTTTTTTTTTTGGGGGGGGGGGGTAGGGTAAGTTTCAAGGGCAAATATAAAATACAAACATACCTCACTGTGCCTAATTTGTACTTTGGTTATCATTGGTAATATGGAAAATAACTAGTTTGAATAGAATGCATTGGTTATCCTTACATCTAAACATTGACTGCTTTATTTACACATTTTGCTGGCTACATCAGACATCGAAGTTTGAAATCAGTTTCTCGATTCAAAGATTTCTACTGATTTCTAATTTAAATTTGAAATGCATATTCTTAAAAATAGTGTTAAAGAAATTCTAAGAGTACAGTACAGGTTCGTACTGCATTTAGCACCAAAGACTGTAATTGGAGCTTTAAACTGAAAGAGTAACGCAGTGGTGTTGGTTGGTGGGTGAGTTCTGAGTGTGCTCAGCACTGCGCAGCGCTCCCACAGCTCCCAGCCGTGCAGGCAGTTGCTGTGCAGGCTTTCCTTCTGGATCTGCTTTCAGCAGTGCACGTTTCTGTGGCTGCACACAACACAGACTGTGTTTTTCAGAGCTCTGGAGTGAGAATGCCAAAATCGGGCTGCCTGGCTTTTAATTTGGGCTTTAAATCTCAGTCCCCCTTCATTCTTCTCTAAGCGTTTTATACGTGCTGACTTGATGCTGAAGGCAGAAAGGCTTTTCCTTGTGCCGTTCTTTTTCACCCAGGTGCAAACAGATTTCTCCATAAGATTGCCTCGTGTTTTCTCTTTATTTATATTAACAGCTGACTTTGCTGTTTCACTGTAATCTGTGAAACAGATTGTCACTGGTGTATGCAGAATGAAGAACTGGGCTTAAAAATTGCCACAACGCACCTAACAGCGTTGGTGCACCAAGCCACATCCCGGCTCTCAGGCCTTTTGCTGTCAGTAAAATACAAGCACTCGCTGTTGCTGAGGTGAGCTGTGATCATTCAGCTCGTGCCCCGAGTGGCAGCAGTGGCACCGAACGGCGAGGGCAGGTTTGTGCAGCAGCGCAGGCTGAGAAGAGGCTTTGTGTGAATGGAAAAGGAACCGTGGAAGGAGGAGGAGGATCAATTCATTCACATCTTTCTCAACTCGTGCTGTGCTGGGTTTTCCTGTGGCAGGGTGGCATCTGGCAGACTAGGAATTAAGAAATCCCTGTTCTGTTTTTTGCAGCTAGTGGTGAGCACACCTGGATGTGCTGAATTTTCGCAGTAGTAATTATGCCTGCACACCTGCTGGTTTCAGTCCCCAATCAGTTTGCCAGACGTGCTTAGAGATTTATTTCACCTGTGCCTGAAAAGTGCTCTGACAGTGGAGTTCTACTGTGAGCGAGCCTGAAGAGCAGAGCACCTTTTCCATGTTTTACTGGAGCCGTTGGTATCTCAAGCAGAACTGTGGAGTTTGTAGGGGGGGAGAGGGTTTGGATGATATTTTAATAGCAATTTGTTTTTGCTTCCATGTGTGATAGAAATACAAGTGACAGGAGTGGGAACAGGAGAGTTGCTGAATTCTGCTGGAATTTTTCCTGTGGGAATCTGTTAATGTTTTTAATTCTCTGAGAGATTTTTCTAAGGTAATCCTTTTGACATTTACATATTTTAAATGACTCTCATAAAATAAAAGCTTAGCTTTTTTTAATATATATGTATAAAATGTGGAAGTGATGATACCGGAATACCACTGCACAGAACTCAGCGGGCTCAAAGAGCATTCTGCAGCCTATAGAGGATCAGCTCTGTGCAGGAGATTAATAGTGAATTGTTCTTTAAAATAATGAAACTTTGGAGGAATTCAGTTGTTGTGGCACTTAGCAGAAGCACGTTTTCAGGACAGAAGAACCCTTTTTGTACCTAACGTGCTGCATGTAGCCGTTTGCTAACTGGAACGCTGATGTGAGCAGCTGAGTTTCCCCTTGTTGCTCACACAGGGGTTTAATCAGGAGCTCAGGGGTTTGCAGCACACCTTGTGAGCAGAGCCTTCTGTGGTTTGTGCTGTGTTGAGGTGAAGCTCAGAATCCAAGAGGTGCGACCACGAGCACAGGAAGGCCAAAGTGGGAAAAATAAGACAAGAAAGCTTTCTTGTGAACTCACGCAGCTTGCTTCTTCAGGCCCCTGAGCCAGATTTCGATTTCAGACCAGCCTAAATGCTAAGCAAATCGTTTAATTAAATTTGCTGCAGATATCCCCAGTTAACAAGAGCAGATTGGTCTCCCTGAGGCTAAATGGAGCTAACGATAAAATAAATGTTGTGCTAATTAGCGAACTCATTTTCTGACACCTGGGGTGAAACTTTAAGAGGTCCTGGAGATTTTGGACTGCGCGTTCATGGATGTGAGCCTCATACTTGTGCTTCACGTGGGGGCTCCTGCAAAAGGTACCCGAGGGTGGTAAGATCACACAGGCTTCACATTCAGCATGGCTGTCGCTGTGTGTTGAAGTGCAGCATGGCTCAGCGCCGTGTGTTCTGTTTTCTGTGTAAGGGAGCAGGGAGCGCTGAGCCCCTCGGCGCTGTGGGTGCGCTGCCACGTCTTAAAGGATGCTCCTGTGTGTCTGCAGGAGCTGGTGGGTGCTTTCTGGGGGTTTAATTTCATTCAGGTTCTCATGGGACTTTTTGCTGGCTTAGGTACCTGAGAGCAAGAATGTATCAAAAGTTCTTACGTGATTTGTCCAGGCTCAGGGATACAGAAGGCAGCACAGACGCGCTTTTATAGTTCAGCACTTGCAGAAAGATAAACGAGACACTTAAGACTGTCATACTGCTGTTCACTTGTTGAGTCATGATAGGAAGTAATAAGAAGTCATTTTGTATGCTCAATAAAAAAAACAATATGGGCTTAATATTAAACTTCATTTCAAAATTCACATACCTGGATTGCAAAAAAAAAAAACAAACACCAAACCAAACAGAAACAAAACAACCAAGCAAAGAACCTGGCTCCAGAGAGCAAGATGTTGCTTCATTTGCTTATAAATGGAGATTGTTTTGTTTTTTGTTTTGCTGTAGCCAGTCTGAAGATTTTTCTGAGGCGCTGCCCTTGTGAAGACATGCACTTGCAGTGTCTGCCTGATGCCAGATAAAACCCTTCCCATAGGCAGGCACACAGTTGTGGTCTGTCAGCAAAACTTCTGTGTCAGTAATTGGAAAAATGCTATTAAAAACAACCTGCCCAGTAATCCCCACCTGCTTTGTCTTCCTCGCTCAGTGCAGTCTCAGTGCTGTTCCTCCCTGCAGAAGGACCAGCTCCTCTGACAAGCTGCCCAGCTGTTATTTCTGTGGCTCCACAGAGTGTTGTTTTGAGGGTGACAGCACGCTGCTGCCCCAAGGTGACTTTCTGTGACAAAATTCAGGATTAGAGCACGAGTGAAGTGTGTTTGTGATGGGTGTTCAGAGCTGGAGCTCACCATGGAATAAAATGTTTAACTCAAGTCTAGGTAGTGTGAAAGAACGCCTTTCTTTTTTCAAGTAACCATGCCTGCAACCAGAAGCTGGAGCACTGGGGAGTGATGGAAGCCTTGTGTAAAAATGATCATAGCTCCGATCTCATCTGCAATTCTTCTCACTCGACATACATACTGCAGTGCTTTTCTGTAAATGATTGTGGTTAGAAAGCACAAACAGAGCATTTGATGGTGAAGAAAGGGAAAGACTTTCCAGGAGGATAAGTGGAACAATAAATTATTGCATTGAGTTTCTTGCATTTAGTATCTGTTCCTTTTTGCAGCAGAGAGAACAGCTGAACAATTCTGCATTTACAGGGGTGCATGCACATGGCAACTCGGCAACCAGCGAGCTTAGAAGGAAACACCACCTAATGTCAGCTTGCAGATTGGGTGGATGCTCAATCGCTCAGAGCTAAGAGGAATTACTTCCAAAGGATTGTATGTTACCAATTCCCAATATTAGATGCTACTTCTAAGAAAAGCTAAGGTCTTGATCCAAAAATATTTACAGCTGTAACTTCCCTGCAGGCTGCCTTGCCCTCCATGGTGTCCGTGTTGTTTTGCTCTCCCAGGGGCTCGGATGGCTCAGCCGCCTCCAGGCCCACGCTTTGTGCTCAGAGGTTCCAGTGCTGCTGTCCATGCGCTGCGTTTCTCCTGCGGAGGTGAAGAACCTGCTGTCCCCATTCTCTTCTCTGGGTAAGTAAATCTGGATTTCTGGCTAAGCTGAGCACTGTGGAGACGTTTCCTTTTAAAATAAAGGATGTTATTTAGATAAACAACAAAATGGATGGCTGGTGAATGATGGGTCTGCTGTCTTTGTACGTGTAACTTCTATCTGGGGGAAAAAGAAGGGAGGAAGTATTGGACTGTCTTATCAGCATTTGTTATTGCTGCCAGGTCTGAGAATGGGTTTATCCATGTCTGGAACCTGAAAACTCACAGAGTGGACGCGGCCCTGGATGGCCATGGAAGAAAATCTGTCTTCTGGTTGGAAAAAATGGATGGTGAAGACAGGCTCCTGAGGTTAGTGAGGCTGGCAAACAAAGCAAAAATTATTTTTGTCCCTGTTATATACCTGAGTTTAAAAAAAAGAACAAGAAAAAAATATAAGGAGCAGGACTGTTTTATTTTTGGAGTTACTGATAGCCTCCCCAGCACGTACAGAAAATATATACACATACAGAAGTACAAATACCCAGAATTACTATGATCAATTAATTTCTTCATGATGCACGTGAGACTGCATTGCAGTGTGACTACACGTGTATCATGAAGAAATTACTTGTACCATTTTTCATTGTAATTTCCCAGTGTCCTTTTTACTGCACTGACATCAGGTGAAGTTTCTGCTTAAAGGAAATGGGTTTGAAGTTAGGTGCTTCACAACTGTTTTTCAGGGAAAATCAAATCTGGTACAGTACAGAAATTGTGAGGAGAAGGAGGAAAAGGGGAGGAGAAGAACCAGAGATGGGAGAACGGTGTGAAATGAGCAGGAATGCTGAGCTGCACGCCCGTGTTGCAAAACGCCCGTGTTCTCATTTAGGAAGGGGAGGTTGGGCAGGTCTGTGTACCTTGGATTAGACAGGTGATCTGAGCGAGTGGATGCCAAAGTGTCTGTATGACTAGGAGGTGTTCTGACATGTTTATCTGGAGAAGACATCTCTTATAATGCACAGTGGAACTCATTAGCATTTATATTTGTTATCTACTTAAGTACAATTATCAACACTCTCCCCCATAAAATCCTATTGAATGAGTATTGTTTGTATTCTTACAGAGCTTTTCATTACCTCTATTTTTGGTGTATAACAGTTCATACAGCAGTGCAATTTTGGGACACTGTTTACCTGTATTCTTTGCTATTCTGCTCTAAATCACAGCAGTTTCTTGCCGTCCCACCACATTTTTGTATTCCTAGCACTGTGTTTTCATAGTTTGTCATTCAGCTGAACAGCAGATGGGAGTTTCTGTACTGATGTTGAAGAAGCCCTAAATCAGTCAGATTTGCATCTACTCCTGTTCTGTTTACGTGGTTCTGTCAAGCAATACTGCTAATTCAAATAAGAAATGGATGAGGAATTTCTGATGACCCCTTCTCCCAGGCAGTAACAGGATGGGTATCCTGTGCTGCTGTAGTTTAATTCCAAAACTGCTGCTTCTCCACAGCAATGTTTTGTTCCGGGGCAGCTGGAGCTGGCTCAGTGTGCAGCGAGCAGTGCTGTGCTGACTGGCCTTCCTGGCCGCCCTGTGTGGGACCACAGGGGCTTTCCCTGGGATGAGGAGGTGTACGAGTCTGCTTCTGCCTGTGGCTGCGTGCAGCTGGCCACTGAGGCCACTTTACATTTGTGGTCCCTCTTGTCTCGCTCTTTGTCTTTCAGCTGTCAACAAACCTGATCATTCTGTTTTACTGTTATGGTGGAAGAGTGCTAAATATGCTGATGTGTAGTGTTCCTGTCAGGAAAATATTCAAGTACTCATTTAAAAAAGTCATAAATAGTTGCATAAAGAAATAGCATAACTGTGTTTGATGGCTCTCTCTTGGTAGGAAAGTGTGGCTGACAGTGAGGGTGGTGTGTAGCTTCTGAAGCTTTACTAAGCTCAGTCCTTATTACGTATTAAAGTCCCAACTTTGAGATACTGAACTGCAGGAAGGCAGGTTTCCTCAGTCCTGCTGCTCACAGGACAACTTGCTTTATTGTAAAAGTCAAGGTCGTGACCAGAGGATCTGCCTGTGGGATTTAGCAGAGGGACGGACTGCAGTGACGGATTCTGTCTTCACGGAGAATGTGGGATTCTGCAGAAGCTCTCTGTTGAAGGTGGCACAGGGACGCTGGCTGATGGCCACGGCAGCCAAGGCCCTGGAGGAGGTAGGAAATGCTGCTTTTTCCGGTGCTTGGAACATTGCTTTTGTTTCTTAAATAAGAAAGTTTGGAAGGAGAAACATCGTTGCTCTGAAAGCCGCTGCTCGAGAGGGGGCAGCACAAGGAACCTCCGGGGCTCCTAATCACCATTACCTGCCAGAAAAGTGACTGAGTTATATAACTCATGCTCTAATAACAAGGATACCACCCCAAGTTTTGTGTAACGTTTAAGTATTTGCAGCTGCTGATGGCCTTTCATGTGCAGGAGGTTTGAAAGCTCCTGTGGTGCCGCTGCTGAATGCTGTTAAAAGGGGAAAAGAGTCCTTCTGGGGAGCTAACAGTCAGAAGTCTGTCGTCAGATGGCCGTTCTCATCTGCTGTCTCTGGCTGGAAGTTGTGCATGCTGAGAGGAGGGGAGGTGCAGGTGATTTGTAATGCGATATGTGGTCTTTCACCTCGGGCTAATTCTTTAACTGGTACTTTGGCTGGAAATAGTGGAATTACTATTAGCAGCAAGAGGTTTGCTCTGTTTGAAATAATTGTAGGGTTCACTTCAGTTCCTACTGTATACACCCACATTGCATACCCATTATCACAGCAGTCACGGACTGACAGCTTTGTTGGCATTTTCCACGTCTGTTTTGTACAAATTGTATTTTTGTTTTCTTTAAAGACTGCTTAAGGACATGATACAAAATTAAATTGATTCACATGCTTGACATTAAAATACCAAAAGTATGAAAAAAGAGGTGATACGAGTAAACAAAAGCAATGTTGTAGTTAAATTGCAAGTTGTTCATAAGCATAGAAGATCAGGAGCTCACCTGGACTGTAGGATGTATATCCTGAAAGTTACATTTTGTGTGCACTAAGCAGTGTGTGGGATGGCGCCTGCACTGCGAGATGTGGGCTCTTTGTCCCTCAGAAGCTGAGATGTGTGTCAGTACTGTGCTGGCCCACAGCCAGAATATTCAGCATTTTACAGGAGTGAGTAAGTGGAGAAACAGCCTCTGTGCCACGAAATGAAACCGTTCTCGGGCGCATCCATGTTGTGATCAAACAGAGAACTGCTCCTGTTTGACAGAGGTGCTCAATGATATTTAACTTAAACCTGAAAAGTGCTGTCTTGCATCAGGTGGAGAGGAACTTGTTTCAGTCGAAGTGCGCACACACTGTTCATAAAGAATTAAATAGTCATAGAGAGGAGCTGCTTTACCCCAGTGTCTCTTGCAATTCATCTCTGGTTTACTTTCATTTGTTTGCTTGGGCTTTGCAAGCTGGTAATGATTTGCTGTCTCCTGAGGTAAGATTTCCTCTCTCTGTGTGAACTTGACACTGGAACTCTGTCAGTTTTCAGTAAATGCACATACATACGCTCCCATAATATGCAGTGTTTCCAAATAGGCAGCACTGTGAGACACAGTACATTTGCAGCTTATGATTAAAATTAAGACTTAATAAGTGTTTATGCTTGGCTGGTGCCCAAAGAAGAGTAATTTTGTCTTAAAGCAGGTTCAGTCCATAAATAATGAGATCTGAACAGGCATTTATTTGTTCGTGATTGCATTTAAATCACCAATTATGAGTTACATGCACTTTTCTTGCCAGTTTGCCAGAAACATGTTAAAAGCTTTATTAATGTGGAAAAGAAAAAGGGTGTGTTTCCTTGTGGCCAGTTTTAGCCACCCAGGAACACTATTAACCTCAGGCAAAGGAAAATCTTTCTCCTATTAAGCAAAACCAATATAAACACAGAACTTCAAGTTTTAGGTTACAGATGTCAAAGTATATGAAATAGTATTTATTTCTAAGGCTCAGTTGTCTAATGCAGGCAATCTCTGGAACTGTCAGTCTAGCACAGGCAGCTCACGCCCGACTGCCTTCTGCAGAAAAAATCCTCTTTTCTGCTTCCCTTTGTCCTTCGCAGGCTCAACCGTAGCCCTTGTAAGAGGTCTTTCCTTTTGAATCAAGATAAAATAAAGGAGTGGCTTTTTAAGAATGACTCTTAACCTGCAGAGATGCATTTATCCCAGTGCGTTTATCTTCCCTTGTTAACTAAAAGTTGCAGTCCTGGTTTTCTTGTAGTCTGGAAGATGATGCCCTGCGGGGAGCCAGTGATGAAAGGCACGAGATGAGAGTGGGTCACCTTCATATTTACAGCTGGTTTTCTCCAATAGCTAACTTGGTCATTATACTGATAGCAAGAAAGTTGCCAAGAGAAAAGAATCTTTTGTTAAGAGCACAGCTCCAAAGAAGCAGAATTCCCAGATGCTCCAACTTTGGTGTCTGTACACTGCAAGGCTCTGCTATAGCCTCCATCTGTCAAATCTGGAGAACAGTTTCCTGCTCCATTGCTAACTGGCTTTAGAAAATGCTCTGTATATTGTGTTTAGTACATCATTGACTTGCAGTCCTAGAGTGCAGCTGGCTTTTGGCAGGCTAGTTGACAATCTCTAGAAATAGGAAGATGTTCTGGCAAGCTTTGAACTAAAGGTATGGGATTGGAAAGCCATTGCAGCTGCTGCAGTCTTGATTGATGGTTCCCAGAGGAGCCATATTTGTTTAATACCTCATCTCAGATGCTTAAGGAAATTCACATGTCTTGGGCTGTCCAACATCACTATTGGGCCTTCGCACATTCTGAAATAATCCAGAGTGGCTGGTGATGGTGGATTTATCAAATATTTGAAGTCCTTTACTTTTATGAGATAATGTAGGCTGTTGCTTATTTAATTAAAATAAAAGATCACCTCAGTGATTAAGTAGGTGTCTGAGAAAGATATGTGTGTGTGTGTGTGTGTGTGTCAAAAACTTGCTTCCAGGAGCATCAGGTCTTTCTCCATAGTTCCAAGCTCAAGTTCAGCCCCAAGTAAAGCATTTCTGTGTCAGGCAAGAGACTGAAGACCTTGCAGTGCCAAACTGCAAAGGCAGACTCCCTGATCTCGCCTGCCATCATCCTGTGGTGGAGCTGAGCTGCTTCTCTGGCAGAAGAAAGACTTTTGCCCCACTTTTTTAAAGACAAACCCATAATTCATTGCCTTCAGCGCAAGAAAAAGTAGGGGCTGCTACACAGACAGAGAACAGGTGTTAAGCACAGAATTACCTGACCTGTTCAAAGCAGGGTCAGACAGCACTGTGGTACAAATACCAGCGTGCTGTTGGTGCTCCAGCCTGCACTGAGCAGATGATTTGGGCTGTTAAGTTCTGCTAGTGCAGTCAACCAGTGAATGAAAATCCACTTCAGATATCTACGGTGGCTGTCCATCCACACAAGCTCTGTATTGCCATGCAGAACAGAAGAGACAACAGAAGTGTCCACAACTGAACATAAGAGAAAGACTTCACTACAAAGACAGAGAAAGGGGAAGGAAGCAGGGAAGTGTTTTCAGACTAAGCTGTCTGCGTTCTTACCTGCTGTAATGCACATCACCTGCTCTAAGGAAAGAAGTCAGAAGAGGTAACAGAACAGTGGAAGATGAAGTTACCTCCTAGCACTTCTGTCTGGTCTTTCATAAAACTGCTCACCTGTAGATTCCCCTACAGCTTCAATTTAACATGTATTCCCCAGTTTCCTCCAGACAGCTTATTACTGGGAGTACTTACACTAGCCTTAAAAACACAAGTCTTTTAAGGTGATTAGCAGCAGAATTTTGACCTGGAGCATGACCAAATACTCTTGTTTTCCTGATGTCAGGTTCAGGTTTTGGAGCTACCATCCAAGACGTCAGTCTGTACCTTGAAGCCAGAGATGGGTGCCAAGCTGGGCATGCCCATGTGTCTGAAGTTATGGCAGGTAAGGCAAGAGTGCCTGCTAATTGTGAAATGTTTTCCCTGTGATTCATTTTATGTGGAGCACATGAATCTTTCTTCACTTGGATTTTGATTTATTATCAAACCAATCAAGTAATTATACTATTAAAGGGGGGAAAGATTTGTGAACATCGTTAATGTAACTTTCAGAGCTCTCCAAGCTTTAATGGAAGATTTGCAAATACTTAGAGAAGGCTTTATATCCTTAGGATAGGCACAGTTTTTGCATCAATCAAGAGGAAAAATGAGTGACTTACTGAAGCCAGTTGTTTGATACAGCTTCTTGCCTTATTAATGACGAGAAACGATTGGGTTACTTAAAGACAGTGATTGTAGAGGCAGGTTACGTTCACTTTGATGCCCTCAGGGTAAGGAAGCACTCGATGAACATTCCTGTTACCAGCGTACAATAGGAACAGATATTTATGGTTGTACAGGCTTTGAACTAAAAGGTAAACAAAAACAGCTAATTAAAACAACAAAACAAAATAAACAACAGAAAAGTACATTTGCAGAGCACTTTGCCAGCGATGCTTATGGGATGTCAGCAGGGAAAGGCAAGTAGCACAGGAAGGCGGCAGCAGAGAAAGGAGTTCAAGTGGTGGGCTTTAAATCCCCCAAAATTCGTTGCATTCCCTGCTTTACTCTCTGACTGCTGACAGTTCCAGGTCTGCAGCGCCATCTGAGCTGATTTCAACTACGCGATTCCCTTCAGTTCCATCTGAAGATCTGTGTTGGTTTCAGCTGCACAAAGTACTGATCAGCTGCGCATTTGAGGCACTGCTGTCTTCACTCGGCACCTGAACTGGGTGAAGTCCAGAGGAATTCAGTTGCTGGTATCAAGGAAAAGTAGGAGAGGCCACAGTCTAAGTCCCATGGAGGAATAGCTAGGGGGGGAAAAGACAAGTAGACTAATTAGGTTTTCATTAAACAAAGTTTATTCTAAAAAGGCAGTTGGTACTCAAGGAAATGAACGTGGCTCTCTGTGGCCTGGACGTATTTTAACAAGATGAAGATAATTGAGGGAAAGTACAGTGTTTAAAATTTTGTTGCCCATACAAGGAGTTCTCTTTCTCACCATGCTTCCCACATGAACTAATCTGCTGATCCTCTAAGAAGCAGAGCAGGTGCAGAGTCTTGTTTTTAAGTAAGTTTTCAATTCTGTTGGCAGTAGGGATGAAGGATAAGACTGGGAATTGGGAGAGGTGAGTTACTCTGTGCAAACTAAAACTTTGGTAAGTTACCACAACTTCCTAGACTGCAACAGACAAGGACAGCTGCAGTCTCACATTTATTCTTTTATTCTTTTATTTTTAATTCTTTTACAAAGGTGTTGAACTCAGTTCAAAGGCACAGGGGAGGAGGATGCTCTTTAAGGGCAAGTAATTATGTGGAGCACCGAAGTGCTGCTCTGTGTTCTGTTTTGTGGTTCCCTAAGTGGGCCATGAGTAACCCTGTACCCATGAAGCAGGACGCCAGCTAACCCAGCTGCACCCTTCCTGATCAGAGGCAGCTCAGGGTCTTACAGGCAGTAGCATGAGCTGGGAACTCTCATGTACACAGTGGAGCTGAGATGAAGCTTGTGTTAGGCTTGTGGATCGAGCCACGCTCACTGCTTCTAAGCAGTTTAAAAGATATCAACATTTTATTGTGTTGTTCTGAAACTTTTTCTTTCCTCTCATTTGACTCTAAATCTGTCCTTTACTTATTCAGTGCCTCATTCACTTTTTTCCTTTCTCTTTTGAAGACTCGCAATCTCGAATACGTTGTTCCTTCAGCTTCACACCTTTCTGCTATTACTAATTGGGTGGGGTAAGGATTTGCAGGAGTAAATATGGCCTTCCCTTCATTTTCTGTACTGTGGGGAAGGCATCGTGTTGCGTAAGGGCACAAACAAAATAATTCAGTGGGAACAATACATGTAGAAACTGGAAATGCAGAGTTATTACTTTATATAAACTATAGCAATTATTCTTGTTGAGCTGACAGCAGATCACCTTCTCTTCCTTCCTTGACAGTTATCCAAATGCAACATCGAACTGCTCTGTTTAGGAAGAATGATGATTTGTCATTTAAATTTTCCACTGACACCAGAACATGGCTGGCAAAGTGGTTTCTCCAGAAGTGTCCATTATGTACAGCTGAAATAAGTGGGCTGTTGTGAAGCACTGCTTGATAAGGCCAGGCATCAGACTGAGAGCTTCTCCAATCTTTCAATAGCTGTTATTAAGTTCAGGTATATGTATTCATTAAAGTATTACACGCTCGAGCACGTCAGGAGGAACTACAGGAGCCCTTGCTTTCACAGAAAAAAACGCTTGCTTTTTAAAACAGACCAATCTCTCACTGCAGATTCCATTTCTGAAGTTGAGATACCTGCAGCAGAAAGAGAAATGTTTCTGCTGGCCATTTGCTGTGATGCTGGGCACCCACTGTGAGGTGGGGAGCACCCACAACACTTGGCCACCCTGTTTTGAGGCAGAAGACCCAGCTCTACCCGTCCCAGTCTTGTTTTGTTGGATAAGGAAAGTCTGACCATCCAAGAGCTTCAAGAAGAGCGGTGTGCTCACAGAAGAGCACTACAGTAACAGCTCTTCTCAGTTTTTCTGTCCAAACTGGGGGCTTTCTTAAACTTAATGTACCTATAAAATACTTTTTTTTTTTTTTTAATTAAAATTCATTTTAATTCAGATTTTTATTCTTTTCTTTAACCCCCCCCAAAAAAAGAGCACTCTCCATCCATTTAACATTGTGAACTTGCATATATTTGACAGTTATTCTTTGCTCTGATGTTATTTTAACAAATAAAAAAAAGGATTGTGCCCACGTCTGGCCAAAGCAAGGCCTCTGCCTCTTCCAAAGAAAAGGAACCTTAAAGTAAGGAGTGAGACTCGTACAGGATTTGAGGTGAGGGCAGACCTGCTTTGTTTCCTTATTTTAAGGAGCAGTTTTGTTCCCTGCATGATAAGATTTATTCCTCATTTAAATGTTTCTTTGGGCTGAATAAATCTGAAAAAGAATGCAGTGCTTTTACTCAGCAGCTTTATTTCCCAGACCACCCATCTCTTGTTGGTCAAATTCCCCCTGGAAGAAACAATCACCCATGGGAGAGCAGGCTGGGCCATGAATAGAGGTGGTGAGCTCTTGGTCAGTGCAGGCTTGTAGCACACCACTGGCAGCAAGTCCATTTGAAGAACCTCATTCAATCATGCGATGCCAGTGACAACTATTTCTTTATCAACATCCTTTAACTTGAGTTTGTTTCCAACACTAAACAACAGATCGTAGGATCAGGACAGGTTTGGAAATAACTGAATAAGCTCTGGGATGCGTTTCTTAGATTGGTGTCCCTGCAGGAGGTGGTCATCATCCCAGTGCCTGCTTGGTGCATTGTCTCTCTCCTATTAAAAGAAAACAGATGCTTGTTATTTAGTTGCTTTTCATTCGGGATTTGCATCTTCACTCACGCAGCCAGTTGGTGCTTACAGGGTCATTAGTCTTTGGCTGGAGCGATGATGAATATTTTCCTTAAGTGTGACATGTAATCCAGTAATGTTCCCCTCTTTGAGTTATTTCAGAGGCTTAAATAAATTAGGTGTCTGCCCAGGGTGCCGTGCCCTTTGGCCTGTGACATCATTAATCAAAATAGCCTTCAGTTGGTTACAGTGGGACTCGGGCGCCTGTTAACCCCTTGCTGGCTCACCCAGAGGTCTCTGAAGAGGTTTGGTGTCCAGCCTGATGTGCTGCAGTGCCTGCAGTCCCTGTGAGCAGCCCTGCTTTGGCAGCGTGCAGCTGCACTGGCGCGTGGCTCCTCTCAGTGCCCGCATGGTTCTGCACAGCTCGATGCTGAGTCCATCTCTCTTTTTATTTTTCTATTTCTTATTTTTTTAACAATTGCAATGAACTTTAGGCCACGAGTTACAGCTTCAGAAACTTCAGGCAGTCTTTTTGCAAGCGATGTACAGGGCTATAGATTGGACTTTCAGTAATCTTCTGTGTGTGAATATAATATACGTGCATGCATTAGATATCTGCTACATGCATCAAGTATGAAATGTTACGTGTTGATACAGAAGCTGAGTGCTTGTCAGCAGTTGCTGGTAATGCTGTTAGTAAAAGTGGTGGAAACACAGAGATGTGTCCTTACTGGTGGCACTGGCAGTTAGACTTCTAAACTCTTCTCTATTACACCTGTCAGCATTTTCATTTACTTTCTCGATGCTTGATCTAATAAAACCTAGTCGGAGGTGAGAATTTCACAAACAGACTGCTCACTTTTCAAACAGTTTTATTTTTCTCTTGGTCAGGGCAGCTGTGGTTCACAACCGTCGCTTCTGGCCGGCTATGAAGACGGATCGGTGCTCCTTTGGAATTTGTCAACGGGAAAAGTGTTGAGCCAACTGATTTGCCACCAGGAGCCGGTGATGAGCCTTGACTTTGACTCAGAGAAGGCCAAAGGGATCTCGGGCTCATCCGAAAAGGTGCTTAGCATCTGGAGCCTCAATGAGCAACAGAACCTGCAGGTCAGTGCCGCTGGCCCTTCAGTGTCATTTATCCCACTTTGCACTAACAGTTTGATAGACTAAAAAATTATTTAGTCATGGAGAAGAGTTGTTGCAGACCTCTAGCTAATTAATCACAGACTGGTTAGAATGCTTGTGCTATGTGCCTAGACTTAACAAAGGACGGTGAGGATTTAAAAAAAAAAAAGGCTCTCACATGTTTCTGGTTTTACTGAAGTTGCAGCAGGCGTGCAGGCCTAGCATTTCTCAAACCATTGCCTCCATGTCTTCATTTATCACGTTAGTAGTATCCAGCTCTCAGAACGTCTCAAACATTATAAATGACTTACAAAAATGAGAAACAAAGGATTGCTTTTCCAGAGGTTCTGCTTGAATGGATAGAGTTTTCCTTTTGCTGTGGAGGAAGACAGAACATTGCATGAGATACCTGAGAAACTGAAAGAACGGGCATAGCCTGGCTAAGGGGATGCGAGGTGTAGGCAGCTAGCTTCCCTTTGCACTTCTAGCACGCTAGCTGGAGACAGGGAAAGAATAAGTTCATATTGGTTTATGTAGGTTTATGCCTGAGCTACATGCACCTGGAGTGGCAGGTTTAGGGGTAGGTCTCGTAATCACCACCAGTTCAGTCTCTGCTCGTGAATGGCAATAAATATTGCTTAATCTAGACAACTTAAGCAAGTGTTCCAACATTGCCAAGGGGTTAAGGAGGTTTTAAGTACGTGTGGAAATAAATTGTGTAAATAAAGGCTCTTGAAAGTGAAAATGGCCCATCCATTGCCCCTGCACTGCTGAGCGCTTTATTTTTTGCAGTTGTTGATAAGGCAGTTGTTCCCTGAACACACATTGCCACTGTGTGCCCCTGTGTATCTCTTCAGAACAACTGGGTGCATGGATTCAAGGAAGAAACAACTGCTCTTAGCGCTTGCAGCTGTTGTAGATTTTGTGAAGTAGCGTGATGAGTTGATGCCATTTTCTGAACAGTTACAAGAGCAGCAATTCCCTGGGCGTTTGGCAGTGACGTCTTGTGGGGACGCCGTCAAGAGCTGCGATCTGATCACCGCAGACCTGACGGATCAGCACGGCGCTGGCATTCAGTACGTGCTTCACTCATACACCCAATGAGGTGCCGTTTGCAGCACACAGCTCACCAGGTGCTGAGGAGAAAGCCAACTTTAATATGCAGTTAGCCACGAAATAGGAGAGGCAGTCTAGATTCTGAATGAGAAGCAATGAAGCAGCAAGTGAATGTGATTAAAGCAGAGTTAACAAGTCTGGTGCATAGCTGTCCTAGTTGGGCTTTGTCACGTTTGCCCCCACAACCCACACCTGGAGTCCATTGCTCAGGGAAGCTGAAGGACAGTGAGTAGGTAAGGCTCAGTAAGAGACCTGCTATTGAGCCTGGTTTTCTAGAAATCTGACACCATGACAAGTTTCTGTAAGATTCGGATACTTGCTGTTGGAAAGGAAGTCATTCCTTCCTATTAATTATAGCAGGGCATTCAAAGAAAATCCTGCTCTTCACAGCACGTTACACTTATGAGTTAATTGTAATGCAGGGTAGGACTCGGGGAAAAATAACCAGTTGTTCACCTGAAATATTGCAGTTGTTTTCCACAGAGCGCTCACGGTCAGTTACGCCTTCAGAGCATCACACTGATGGCCCTATTCCTCAGGAGAAATTTAAATGGCAAATGTTGTAACCCATAAGTAATACCTTGGTGCTTCATGCGTGGTGTGAATTCCCCAATAAAGTGCATCTTTCATGTGAGCACTACAGGCTGTCAAGGACATAGCTTGTGGGGTTTTTTCTCTACTATTACATTAATAATAAAAACCAGATGGGGACTTTTCTTTTTTGGCATTCCAGTTACCTGAGGTAATGGTAGATGGTGGAAAGCCACTCAGTGGCACGTTATTTTTATTCTAAAAGGTTTTAATAAGTAAACGTGGTGCACAGCTATCTGCTGTTGGAGAAATAATGATGCAATGATGGTACTTCAGCTCTGTTTTAAGTGGCAGCGTTCCAGTGTGTCAGTGAATAGATGATGAAGGTACTTCATCATTTATCGCTATGGGGAAAGTGGTGCATTGTCTTGTACAAGAAAATTGCTGAAATCATCTCTGTCAGCAGATGACTGGATTGGTTATGAGCCTTCTGATTTGGCTGAGATAGTATAATTAAGTGGTTACATTTGTGATGGAAAGTAGGAGGTAAACAGCTTCCACAGGTGAATAAACGAAGCAGAACTAAAATCCAGTCATCAAAGGAGCACTCGACTTTTATGGGGCAAGAAAGAAAATCCTATGACAGCTGCAGTGTAGGTAAGCATGCAGGTTCTGTTGGTCGGGTTACCGAGGTTTTTCCCTTAAATGCTAAAGTTGAAGTTGCTGCTGTATTTGCTACTTTTTAAAAAGCAGCTCAAACACATAATTTGAGTGTAGGAGAGGCTGATTTTAATAAGAAAAATCGTAGATGGCAAGTGTTGAGGAAAGGAGAGGTGGATGTCTGGTCTCAGCATGTCAAAATTTCCTCATGAATCTGCCAGTAGATACAAGTGTCCTTGGCCATGACTGGCTGGAAGCAGCTCACCTGTTCGTGGCTTTGTTTTCTTAATTCTAAATTAGCTTTCTGATTAGGAAACAATGTTGGTATGTATTTGGCTACAGTGTTTCCCTGCGACTGACGCTGTGGCCACATCCTGGCAACAGGATTTCACCTGGCTGCAAAAACCTTGAGCAAGTTGTTCTCTGTTTTTCCTCTCTCACCTCCTGGATTTGCAAATTGTGCACAAATGCCCACTGTTCCCTCATGTTCCATAGCCAAAAGGCATCTCCATTATAGGCTTCATTTTCAAGTTGTAGCGTGCTGCTGACATGCAATTTCACCCAGTCGTCCTGATTTTGCTGTATGGATCTCACCTACATAATTGACAGTAATGATGGGAAGCACCACACCCAGGACTGGCTATAGCCATTAGCTAATAATCTCAGTTACAGAGAAAGGCCCATCTTACTTCCAGCTGCCAAGCCGGTGATGTAACAGCTCCTCCCCTTCCAGTAGACACATGGCAACGAAAATCCCACTGAAGCTATGAGGTATTACTGCAACTGGGGAGTTTGGAAGTATCTATCAGCAAAAAGCACAAGTTGTGCAGTAGCAGGGAGGCCCACAGACAGCCTCCTACCACTGGACAGGCTTAGCAAAACTCGCTGTCCCTTGTGAATTGGTTGAAGACACACTTGTCCTTTAGAGGACTGCATGGAGAAGGCAAGAAGCAGGCACGTCGTTTGGTCTTTTTCTCAGTGAGGTGCAGCCCTGCTGCTTGAGCCGGGCACTTGTTACATCGCTGAGAAGTAACTGCTTCCAGCTTTGTTCCTGGAAAAGGCCAGTATGCCTTCAGTTGCATGTGAAAGCAACTCTGATGTGTGGCTGGAGTTTCAGTTTTCTGAATTCTGTGTTACAGTTAACACAACCTGAAATTAATACGTGCTGCTGTCCTGTGCTACAGTCCCGTAACATCATGGAACTTTCATCTTGAAGGGAAGTTACTCAGATAAAAATGTGTCCCTTTTTTTTAAGTCCCTTTTCCTGAAAACAATAGATAACATGCATTGCATTAGATTAAGCTTTGCTTCAAGAGATGGCTGTTACACATTTAGTCCTAAGAAGACAGCAGCATGTGTCATTTCTAAATGTAATCCCTAGCTGTGCTTACAAATAACCACAAGTCGAGATCAGCACACACTTAAAAAGGTGTCTTCCCATTGTGACAAAGCTGGGCTATTTCAACACAAGCTGCCTGTGTTTCAGGGACAGACTGCTGACTAATGTAAGTTACCTGAGGTGAGAACAGCACAGTTGTATGACGTGGGGCTTTTCTGGTGTTTGAGGGGAAGTTCGTGACAGTGAAGCAAGCTTTTCTTTTCAAGGGCTGTGCCCAGTGAGTCAAGAATGAAGTTTATTACCTTTCAGTTCAATTGTGCCCCTCGGAAACTTGTGCTGCAGTAGTCTGCAAGCAGAAACAAAAGACTTCAAGGTAGAAATCAATAACTTGTTTGTAATCCCCTTCTTAGCATTTGCTGTAAATAAGTCCCTTGGGGAGAGGCACTGGAACTACAGATTTCCTGACCCTGTAACGTAATTCCTGGAAGCATTCCTTTCTCAAGAATCTGGTAAATACTGCTACAGCTTACTGGGGCTTTTGTGAGGGGTTACAGTAGTAGAAATAAGTAGTGGGTAGTTTAAAGGACAGTTCAGAATCTCAGCATGGGAATATTGCAAGAGAGGGGAAGATATTTGGCCAGAGCTCTGAACGTTGCCACTCATGAAAGAAGAGCTGGAAGGGCAAAGCTGCGCAGTCTGATTCTCAGTCTCAGACCCTTGCGCCACAGCTTCACTTGTGACCAAATGTAAACAGCTTTAAATGCAATACAAATTAAAAACACACAAGGAACATTCAGGGAATGGCGCTGGAGATAGTTAAGGTCAAGTTAAGTTAACTGTTCTCATTAATGCTTTATCTGCTGTGTGATGAAAAGCATCTGTGTGATGCCAGTGTGCGTCCGGGTGAATGGTCTACCTTCAAAATCCCAGAAGGTTCTATTTTCTTCTGCTTGCCTGAAACGATCAGAGCTCATCTATGACTTTCTCACACAGGTTCAGAAAACACACAGACTTGTCAATGCTGGCATATCTGATATCACCATCCGTCCAGACAAGAAGATTTTAGCAACAGCAGGGTGGGATCATCGCATCAGGATCTTTGGCTGGAAAAAACTGAAGCCCTTAGCAGTGCTGGACTACCACACCGCAACTGTCCATTCTGTGTCCTTCTCAGACCACAGCAGCCCCACTGACAGACTGCTGGCAGCTGGTGCAAAGGATCACCGCATCAGCATCTGGTCCATATACACTCAGACGTGACAGTTTGCACTGTCATGCGCTGGGAAGTAGGATCGATGAAGCCATTCCTTACACAGTACCTCAAACCTGGACCTGGTGAAGCAGTAGAACTTTTTTCCAGGCAGAGGTGAGTGTCTGGAAATTGCTAGATTAAAATTCTGAGCTGACTGTTCATGTGGAAAGTTCCGTCTCCCATGGAGGGGAGTTGACTTCTAAAACTTACAACAGGCGGAGCAAGGCCAGTCATGAACAGTGACAGAGGACAAGTTGCTGAGTTCTGCTGCAGGTTTTGCAACAGCTTTTTCTTTGGCATATTGCTAAAATACCTTGGGCCAATTTCTGGAAAAAGAACTGGAATTTCTCAGCCTTCTGTGGGAGCAGAATGTCTCTGCTCGTAAGTCACTTGTGTATCTAACAATCTGTATCAGTGTAAAATACCTCTCTTCTGTGAGAACTTACACCCATTAAACCAGCTCCAGTGGTTTTTCAGTGTCAGTTACTTTTTCTTCCCTGTAAGTGAAAGGCTATCAGAGCAGCCTTGATTTGTTCGCACTTCTGTCAGTTTCTAACTTAAACCAACAGCCAGGAATGTGACTTGGGACGGCCTTTGGCATTTATGAATTTCATTATGTCTCCCGTCACCTCAAGTCTCACAATTAATCACAAGAAGAAAAGGGGAAAAATAACCTTCCCCTGCACTGCACTGCAAAGCTATGTAAAGCCTTTTACAGAGCCAGTGCTAAATCCTTTCCATGGACTGACTAGCTGAAGGATTTAAACTCAGCAATCCAATTAGCGCCTTCTCCTTGGAGAGTTAGGGTAAGTTTCAGCATGGCAAGGCTGGGATTCAGCTACACGACTCACATTAACATGTAGGGGAATTTCATGGATAAATCCTTACCCACGCGGTGCAGATGGATCCATTAACTTGTCATCTCCATGGTCACAGAAGCTGAAATTCTTTCACGAAGGAGGGTTTTTCTGAGTGGTGAAGCATTAGCATTCTCTGACTGCACCAAGATCTCTGTGAACACTGTCCTGCGTTGGTCCCTTTGAAGTCACACGTGCAGCTGTCCCACGGAAGCACTCAGCTGATGCCAGGTTGTTGGGGACCTAATTTCAGAGACTAAAGACTATGGAACAGCTCCACAGACAGCAGTGCTCGTGTTGTGCAGCTTCTGCACCAGTGGTATTTTGCTGTAAATGTTTTTCTGCCTTGTTACAAGGTTAATAGCAGAGAAAATGTCACCAGAACTGTAGTGAGCAGCAACATCAAGAGATTCCCAAAATAAAAGCCTGATGTTCTTGCTCTCACAGAAACAGCACCCTGTTCTACCAGCTTTTCTAAAGAAAATTTGGTCTCGCACCTTTTGGAGTGTGACAGCACTTCAACAATTCATTTCTTTGAGTGTTTCTTTACTGTTAGGCAGCTGCACCAATGATCACACTGCATTAAAAAAGGCAAATCCTAATTTTGAGTGATCCTGAGTCAGAGGGTGGTGCTGGTGTTCATTACCTCTATCAGACACTGTTGCCTAGATGGCGATGGCTCCATCTGCACACATCATCCACCTCCCACGCAAAGGAGGAGTTGCCTGTGCCATACACGAGTCTCCAGGCCAGGAGGACAGAGTCCTTCTGCACAGACCTGCTGCTAGAAGAGACTGCCACCTCTTCCTTCTCCCATGCTCTGCAGACAGAACTCACAGGAGTTCTGCTGTATGAGAACAATTTCACAGTCAGTTTTTAAAAGGACACAGCCCAGGTGTAACCACTCAGGTTTTAGTCTCCACTTAAGATTATAAACCAATCGCTCAGATTTTTAATAAGCTGTAAAAGCCACGTCTCCATCCACCCTGTGCTGTGCAGTCACAGCCCCTTTTCTTATCAGTAAGCTCTATGTGAGAGATGAAGGTCAGTGCCCCGCAACTGCTGTCAGGCTGGTGGCTGGGCACAGTCAGCTCTCCATCTTCTCATGCAGACTCCGGGCGCCCTGGGACACGAGATCAGCACTGCACAGCCACCTCTTCACACCTCCTGCTGCCGTCATTGTGATCGAGGCCAGAGTGCTGCCTCAGGATGCCTGGCACCGCAGGCACTGGACTGCTCCCTGCTGGAGCCCAGCATGGGTATTCAAGAGGCACATGGATAAAATGCCCTCAAGTAATACATACTTCTACTGGTTGCTGCAGGAAATAAGAATGGCCAAATCTGCTCCCTGTAGAGAAGAAAACCACTCCAGCCTCGTGTTCTCGAGCCAGGTCTCAAAGCAGTACACAGAGTGTTACTGTAATGAAGCCACAGCATGTAGTAAGTACCTTGATGCAAATACTGGCACAGAGGCAGCACCCAGCCACCCGCTCCAGAAGAACAAACACGTGCATTAATTTGAAGTGCTATTAGCTACAGACACTGTTAGAAACTCTTCAGTATATTCTTCCCTCAGAAGATGCCACTTGCTGTCAAGGTTGATCTAAATTAACTACGGAGATTCACAAGGGGGACAAAGATTTACTAATAGGTCTGTTGGAACATACACTATGTGCCACTGCATTGGAATAACTGCCTTTTGCTAGGGGTTATATAGTTGTATTTATCTGACTAGACAGATGTAAAAACTCAGTCATGCAAATACAAACTGAAAACGAGAGCACGAGCTGCATCTGTATTCTTAGTAGCAGGCAGAAGAGGCAAAGAGTCTCATCAGCTTCAGGAGGAAGGACACGTGCAGATCACTTGCAAGAACAGATCCATCCTACACTTTGTTCTTTTTGCCTTACCCAGGCACCATCCACGACACATCAGTGCTGCAGATCACTGGCAATTTTTTTAAACAGTAAAGAGAATTTTAATTTTTTTCACATTACAGTTTCCTTGAAATGAACAACCAGACTAATTAGTTTGGTTTAGAGCTGAGCCTAAATGCCATAGTTTGAACTAGAATTACAGTTTTCTAAAAGTTTATTTGCTTAAGGAGCAGACCTGGACCTTCCCAAAGCTGAGTAACTTCCACAAGAAGGACGGTGTATGTTCATATAGACTGAAAAATGCAGTTATCCGACAGCATCTAGAAAAGTACAATATTTCCATAGGGGAGGGGGGAAATATTGCTAAGGCTCCTTGCAACTGAAACACAAGCATGGTCATCTGTCAACATTTCAGCTGACTTTCTAGCAGGAAGGTTTGAGTAAAGAGCCAACTGAAGTTGCTGGCATTAGCTCTGGAACATCCCTGTTGAGAATGGAATAGGGCTACCCTGTACCCGGCCTGAAGGATTCAGGAGCGAAGGTGAGGACAGCCAAGTTATTACAGAAGGCTTCCTCCTGAGAATCACTGCCTTTGCACTACAAGAGGGAAGAAAGCAACAAGCATCCATAAACTAACAGAAAATAAATCCCAAACACTAACATTTGTTCAGCAATTACACAAAATATTTATCACCACTGCAATGAGTGGCAATCTCTGACACCCCCCAGTATTTTCTGCAAATGAACCCATCAGTTCCAAACCTTTCTCTTACCAGCACCTGGGCCATAAAGCAAGCATTGCTGACTTCGGTGTCGGTGAGAGGGAAGAGGAGATTAATGGTACATGAGTGAAAAAGGAAGGAGGCTGAGGGCCTGCAACAGGACCGCTGTTGAGATCAGCCCTGTGCCACACATTGCACGAGTGACCACGAAGGGAGGCTGTGCAGCCCAGCTGGGATCGTATTTGAAGGAGCAGATGATTATAGTGAAGACAATATTGGTTTCTGAACCGCTTTGATTTTGAGCTTACTTAAGATGCACCTACAAAGCCATCTTCTTAAAAATTAATAAATCTTTCCTTTAATTCAGTCTGCCAAGAATGAAGATTGAATGCTGACTACTGCAGGAGACACCGTAGTGATGCAAACCAAAGGACTAGGGATTAAACAAGGATTACTCAGCACTAAATCAATGTGCTTCCCTTTGGCCTGTGTGTCTGTGGTGTGAAAGTGTGGATGGTTACATAAAACATGGTCCATGACTACCTGGATTAACACTAGCCCATGTTAAAGCAGTGCTGAGACAGAAGATTTGATATTTAAGCATAACCATTCTGTGTATTACCAAGAGAAATAATAGTAACGATGGCACAAGTAAGGAATAAAGAACAGCTTTTTCTTTATAGTAGTCTGCAATTCCAGCCTGGATCCCCACGCTAGAGTGATTTTACAAGTAGGCCTGGCTCCATTCAATCTGTGCACTGCAGGTTTATTTTATAACGTGAAGAAAACTAACAATGAAGATCGCAGCGGTTTTTGGCAGTTCATTTGAGGATCTCACAGCATGAAACTAAACACAACAAAAACGTGCTGCCCTATTGGCTACAGGAGGCAGACCTGAAGCACACTTGTTGTAAGACTTGCCAACAATACCACATTAAACACAGCAAGTAGCCAAACTCCCCGTCCCCTGGCCGCACCGCCAGCCTTTGGTCCCCACTGCCTTGGTTGGGCACACAGCTGTTGCCATGTCTGGCTTTATTACCAGCCCCCCTTACCAAATAACACACATTTCATTTGGGTGGAGCCATCTTCTCCTCTATTCATTTTTAAAGGATATCAGCTTCATTTACTCAACCTATTACAATTTCTTTTTCCCATAACGGCGTCCTCACACCCCCGGTACATTTTGTGCTCATGTCTGAAGAGGTAAATTTTAAGTTTCAGCTATCAGTGGTTTATTTTCCTTCAGCACAATCCATCACAAAAACATTGATGCTATGTGTTATTAAACCGCGTAGTTGGGAACATGGCAACACAATTTCTCAGTTTTGAACATTCCACTCCCCTAATTAATTGAGTACATCTGTATGTTTTACCAACATCACTGTACAGTGCCTTGTTCTGACTTACCGCATAGGAATTTGATGTGCAGTTCAGTGTCATAAGAGGAAGAGAAAGGGAGAGGGCACAAAACTCAAATGGAAGCAGCCCTTATAAGAGCTCAGATCTCCAAAGAAGAACCTTGAAGCCAAGCACCTCCAGCAAGGTGCCAGATGCCCTGCAGGACAAGGACAGCACATGAGAAGAGAACCCAGACTGAGCAGGAGGTGAAGTGACAGCCTGCCTTTTAGAACTCCTACAGCAGCTTCAGAAGTACTTGCTGTCGCCAGCCCACATCCTTGTTTAAAGGGGTTGGACCATTAGGAAATCCTACAGACAACCACGGGCACCTGCAAATGAGCGTGCGCTCAACTTGTGCTCTGCTTCCCACACCAGTGGCAATAGCAGCAGCAGGGCTGAGCTCTGGAAGCAGCCACACGCACTGCAGCAGCACCGGCCCAGAGCTGCACCAACTCCTTACAGCAGAGCAATGCAAATACTTACTCTGACAACTGCCTACTTCAATTAGAAATTCTAATTTAAAAAGATGGTACATCAAACTGAGATTACAGCTGGGATGCTATTTGTTCTCAGTTTTTATTCAGAGTGCATAAATCAGAACATTAAAAAAACCAAAA